TTTCCCCATCTCTGTCTCTCTCCCTTTGAAGCAGACTGGACAGCTTCCTCAAGCTGGCGTTATCGCTCCCTCTAACCACTCTTGGCAGGCAATCTAATTCCCCCTGAAAAGGTCACCGCCATTTTAACTGCCTTTCAATCACATTAAGCACGCTGCTGCTCGTGCTCAGAGCACTGCGCCTGCAGCTCTCCTGACTGAGGTGCGATCGATAAACTGACATCCCGTCCCCCCACCCCATCTCCCCAACCGCCCCATCTGCCGCTCGCCTCCTTCCCCTCTCCTGGACAAGCCGTCTTCCCAGAACAGACACTGAGAGACCAAGTGACAAAATCCTCTCCTCAAATCCAAAGCAGCAGAAGGGTGCTGCTAACCTGGCATTTACTAATCTTTGTCCCATCTGCTAAGATATAGAAGGGCGCAAGCAGCCCCCCCGCCTTCCCTAGACCTACAGAGGCAGCGACTTCACAGGACAGTTTGCTTAGGCACCAGTCCAGACACCTTTGAAGCTGTGTTACAAAGAACAAGCCTCCCTCAAGCTTCCCTCAATGCAATCATTACCGTTATCTCTCCCCCCGTGCTGCCTTTTTTTTTTTTTTGCAGTTACGAGTTATGTGTTCCACCCATCGATCCCTGTGTAAGACACTGTTTTAAGTCCTCTTGCCTTTTGACTGTGCTAAGCCGTTTAAGAGATGACAGCGGCTTCTATCAGTGCGAAGCTGATGCGATTCTTTTCAGATAAAGCACTTTTTTCACTCCCCCCCTCCTTTTCCCTTCTTTCAAGTAAGAGACATACACACAAAAAGAGACACTGAATCTTTCAAAGAAAAAAACCTTTTGAACTTCCCTCAGGAATTCTTTAAAGGGATAACCTTACAGTGTAAACACTGAGGGTAACGTGCATCCATTCTGGAGAGGGAACAGAAGAATTACTACAAATATGCTGAACGTTAAAAAAAAAAAACATTAGAGAGAGAGCCACTTAATGCTTTCACTTGCAAAGCCTCGCTGGCTTTCTAAACAGAGAAACTCATTAGACAAAGATGGCATGAAATAATTCCCTGCAACAAAGAGCTTCGGAGAGGGATGATCCAGAGATGTGGTTATAGACAGTTACAGAACATTCAGGTATTTCAAGAAAAAATTTTAGTCTTCTGACACTGTTCTAAGATAGGGAAATATTCGATTATTACATCAGTGTATCTTTTCACTTTGAAGCATGAGCTTGATTTAAACAGCGTTGGTATTTCATGCTGGTAGCCTTCTGAACCCATCCCAAACAGAAGCCAGAACCCTCCTGCTACAAACCCCTACTTAAGAAGGGCCTCTGCTGAAACAAAGTGGTTCCAAATTCTATATAATTGCCAATAATCTTAATTTACATCCTGCAGTTTTGGGTAAGCAAAATAAATGATAGTGAATGATGCTTTAAGAAGCCAGGATGACATCTAGAAGTACAAAATATTTCCTGACTGAATGCCTTCACTGAACCCAACAGCTTAAGAAACAACACACTGATCCCAGCACTTCTCAGTTATATCATATTCCTACTCGCTGCCATCTCCTGTTCCTTCCACCTGCTGCCTCAAGTATGCCAAGTCGTAGCAGGCAAGACGGTGTGCTTTGGCTCTGCTGCACTAGACCTGACTGGGGATTTGCAGCTGCAACACCAATACAGAAGACAAAGAATTTCCACCTTCCAAGACAGCCCCTCAGCTGAGAGGAGCAAGTTTTCCCCGCAACCCCTTTGGAACCAAGAAAGCTTCATCCTAGGAACCACACAAGTGAGAGTTTCAGCCATTGACTGCTCCCAAGTATCAGACCACCTTCCAGAAAACCTGAGCAGGGCTGTTCATGGCCCTGATCTTTCTATTTTCAAGAAGAAAAACTCCAGGAGTGTCCAACCTTCCCATACCCACAAACCTGACCGTTTCTTTCATGTAATTCGCAGAGTTTTCCTCACCTTGAGAGCAAGATGAACTTTACCCATTAACCAAAAATGAGAAAAAGAAGAAGGCAGGACCTGTGTTAAGTCTGAGTCACTTCTGTAACGCTGCCCAATGGTCTGACTGACTCACGCAATACATGGTGGCCGCAGTGTCCTGCTCCCCCTTCGCCCACTGGCGACTTCTCCTCAAAGCAACACACTATTAAAACCAAAATTAATGAGACACACGGACATTTATTTTCCCCATGTCATCTCTTTAGACACCAGTGACATCCCTGTAGCCTGGCAAAGGCTGTCTGGCATTATAAAAGGCCTTTGATTTCCACATCACTGCTACTTCTCAGCAAAGGGAACAGAGCCAAACACAAAGCCTCGGGTGACGGGGGTTAACGAGGGCCTTGCCAGCTCCAGACAAAGCAGTTTTAAGCATTAGAAAGCATCTCCAAAACGTTGTGCTGTGCTTCAGGGTTGTAAATGAAGAATTCTGTCCCTAAAACCAGGCAAGGGCCAATACTGGCAGAGAAAGGAAAAGGACAGTCACCTTAAGGTTACCTGCGAGTGCACAAAGCAGGACTGCCTGATGGAGACCTCTGAATGCCCGCAGCCAGAGACAATGCAAGAACCACAAAAGGGAGCATGAAAAAGCGTAACTTGCTTAAAAAGAAATACAATCAGCCAACTACGGGAGATCATTCCAGCTTTGCTTTGGTTTCATACATTTTACAGAAACTTCTTGCACAGAATAAGGAGGTACCCTGCAGATATTATCTAGTCATCCCAAAACGCCAGGCAGAAACTCCCGTTTAGGGAAGAGGACACCTCTCTAGAGGAGCATGGCAGCTGTTGAATCCAGCTGCCAGCAAAGGCGTGCTCCACAGGAGGAAGGGCAGGGACGAATGCATGCACTAGGGACCTGCCAGCTGCTCAGGTGGAGTCATTTCTTCAGCAGCAGCTCTGCCATCAAAAGCTGCACAGAGAGGATGCTCCTCACCATAAATCCTACAGGGAGCTTCCTGTGCTTGCGAGGTGATCTACAGACACCTTTCATCCACCACCACAAAAAAAAAAATCCAAAAGCCTTCCCATCAGAGTAATTGTTGAGGGTTTTCAAACCACATCTAGCTGTGCTCTACTCTCCTCCTAGCCTTCTGACCCTTTGCTGGATCTGTTCATGTAACTAGGAACTCTTGAAGGTGTCATGAAGGTCTCAAAAATGAAAAAAAGAGATGGACCCCATACTTCCTGATGGAAGCAAGGCTATTTCTAAGTATGAAACACAGAAGCACCTGCCCATGTGTGGGCAGCCCTCTTGCCGAGGTTACAGCCCTGACTGTTGCTAGAACCTGTCTAACCTCTGGTGCAGGAAAGCAGCTGATCACATAAAACAAGCGATCGCATTTGAGAATTCCTTAAAATAAGGAAGAAAACGCAACAAGGAGTACTTTGCATTTACACAGCCTAATCACATAAATTACACGCATTTTGTCACCCTGAAGCGTCATTTGAAAGAGGGTCCCCACATGATTGAAGCAATATGAAAGGTTCAGCTCACACTTCAGTGAGTTAACTCAAAAACAACCAGGAATGTTAACCAAGTGAAGACAGTACAGTGTCCACACCAAAAGAAATGGAAGATTGTGCTCTCCTCAAGCTCAGCTGTTCGGTGTGAGCAAAGCAAGAACCCACACATGCACAAAAAAGGGCACAAATGAATGGAATAGCTTTTTCTAATCAGGACTAGCAGTGGCAACAATAGAGGCACACAGACATCCCTTGGTTCGCTGCTATGGATTGTAGTAACTATGCTACACAAACATACCCTAAGGCCCTGTGTGGTCTCATCAGACTTCTGCCTGGAATCACGTCCAGACTCAACCCTTCATGTGGGCACAAATAAAGTTAAGGTAGGTAGACACAGGAAGCGACAATGTGAGCTTCACTAGGTAGCCTCTAAAACCCAAAGAAGCTGCTCCTTCATCCACTCTGCTGTAACCCAGCTACAATTTAATTTCAGGGAAGGTAAGAGCAGATCAGGAGTGCCAGGCTGTCACTGAGTACACGACTGGCTTTTAAGTCCAACTCCCTTATGTAGTAGCCTTTCCCCTTGAGATATTTTAAATTAAAATCCAAGCTGATCTAGGAAGAGATCACTTCCCATCCTCTTTATTGAAGGGAAGGAGCCAGCATTCCTCCTCTCATTAGGCATGCACTACGTGGATTGCTTGTGAGAGACTCTCCTTAGTGCCAGAGGTTTATGCCAACGAACAGTTTAGTAAATCCTCCTCTTCGAGGCCAAAGGGCTGAGTGTAAGAAAGGGGCCAGGTTTCTAGCTAAAATTACATTCACCAATAAAGCTCACGAGAGGTCAAATTTTGCCATAACTCACTCTCTCCTCTGTAACTGATTTCCCCGTCACTGGGGAAGGAGCAAAAGAAGGAGGAAAAATAAAATGTGTTTGTCTGGGAGCCCTAAGGGCTTGCAGTGCTGGAGGTGCAGAGCAGGTTCCTGGATTCTCATTTATCAACCTTAAAAGGGATGGAGTGATAAATGCACAACCGGTCCTTTAATATTTTATGCAGGTGCTAAAGCGACTTAGCTGTCACCTTCAATACATCACCAGAGGCTGATACACCAGCTTTCGTCACTCCAGGCTGGGAATTTTTACAATTTCATTTCTATTTCCCTCTCTTCACATACTTTAACGTATTTCTTACCACGTGTAACATATAAAAAGCTATTTTCCCCAAATGATCTCCCCATTCCACCCACTCCTACTCATTCCCTCTTCAGTCACATTTCTCAAGCAAGAAATAACAGCACGCTTTTGCTCCAGATTTACACAAATTTTGACTCTTGTCAGGCAAGAGAGGCAGAAAACTGAAATCACTTCTACGTGGATTGCTTGTGAGAGACTCTCCTTAGTGCCAGAGGTTCCTTAGGCTGAAGGTCCCACCCTTTGTGAAAGGCAAATCTCTAGATCCCTCCCTTTAAAGATAGACAATGATCAACTTCCACAGCAGAATGATTTATAAGGGCCCCCAAAACACTGGCGCACCTCGAAATCCTCCCTCCAGGAGGGTAGTAGCCCGTATCCTCTTCTGCCCACACCATTCGTACTCTTCAAAGCGGTTGCCATTCTCGTTCTCGATGTCCACAGAGTCATCCTCAGTCATGCATGAACCTTCTCTCTGCACAGGGTAAAGCAGGGGCAGAGTGTTGAGATGCATGGAAGAGTTCTTTGGGGTTAACAACTTGGGGTGGGATGGAGAAGAAAAGCTGGACTGTTCCCAGGACAGCTAAGTATAGAGCAGATAGCAGCATCTACTCCCACCCCCATTCCCAGTGATCTAAATCTAGAAGGAAATGGGTGCTGGAAGAACTTGACAACCTTAAGATCAATACAAGTCGCAAGATTCATCATTTTTACACATGGAAATTTAAGCTCTGGTTCCTAGAACAATGCTGGTGTGCATTTCAACATGCATTCTCCTATTGTGCATGCACAATTCTCCTACAATGTAAACCACAGATTCCTTTGACCCCCAGCAGGATCCTAGAGCATATTTTTGGGGCACACTGATCAAAAGACACCTCTCTTTACACCGTGCACCTCTTGAGGCAACAAGAATTAATTTGTTATCCTCTCTGTTGTGGGCTTTTCCTGACAAACAAGCACAGAAAGCCCTATGGCACAACTCTCTCCCTCCCCTAGGGCTTGTTCCTCCTTCTTTGCTGTCTTTGGGATGAACAGCAAGAGAACAGTTCTGTTCAAATGCACTTCCTGGAGTAAGGCGGTCATGCAACATTTACAAATGCCAGTCTGTTACAAAAGAATCCAACAAAAAATAATTCTAAACTGTCAAAGGCAGAGATCAGAAAGAACTCCTCTTGCTGTGCTACATAGGAAGCATGAAGTCCTACAAAAGGCTTCATAAACTTCAGTAGCTCTGCCTTTACAGTCTACAACTTAGACTTCAATAACAATGAAAGGGTGCATGAAGTAAAAAAGTTATTAATGCAACACAGGAGAAAAATCCAGAAAAATCCATCTTCCGAGGCAAAGAGAAGTGACTACAGATCTGAGGGAGACAGAGTTAGCACTGCCTGCAAGCTCAGCAATGTTAGTTTTTGCCCCACGTTAGGTCAACAGCAGACAAAGCTGGGGTGTAAGGAGAAGGGAATGGCAGCTGGTGATCCTGCTGCGCCTCTACCTTTGCAAGGCATTGTTCCACATGCCTACTCATCTCCTCCTCGGATCCTGACAGAGGTCGGCTGCAGAGGGGACATACCTGCCCTTCGTCTTGCTTCCTCCGTTTCATTTTTCCAATCCGAGCTGCATGGAGAAACCAGGGAAACAAAAACAAAACAAAAACAAAAAAAAAAGGGAAGACATGTCAAATTTGTAGATGCACTCTTCTCTCTATTTGCTCAGCTCCAAATAATAAACCCTTGGCAGAAATGGTAAGATCTCACAGCAGAAAATCCTGTTGCAACTCCCTATTCTGACTGCCATAACCAGTACAGAGATCCTTACTTAGCACTTTCCAGATTAAACCTGTAACCTGTGTCTCAGTACAGCCTGATTTCAGAAAGGCAGCTACTCACGATTTAATAACTAGGAGAGGGAGTATCTGCTGCACATCCCCAGGTAAGTTATTCAAATGGTTAAATACTTCCTCTTGGAAGCCTGAAATTGTTTTCAAAGTTGAGTGATCAAGCCACTGACTTCTGTTATGGATTTTGCCTTCTAAGTCCGAGACCCATCCACTAACACATCTATTCCCTATCCAGGAACTTGGCTTGGACTGTAGAAGGATGATGTAGCACCCAAAAAGCCTTGGACAAGGTACATAACAGTCACTTCCAAGAACAGAGAGTCTCCTGTACACCCCGAATAATTCCTTTCCAGAACATCACAAACAAGTCGGAGCAGCATCTTAGTAGCAGGTAACATTTATGGAAAGATCTTTGCTGCAAAAAATGCAGCACCTACGCTAGATGGCTTCTGTCTCCCTCTGTTATTTTTATTTCACTATTTTCATGTAGAGGAAAACTGGGGGCTACGTTGCCTTTTTGAGGGTATGCTCTGGGAAACAAACATCTTGGGAATCATGATGATTAGAAAAAGCAGACAAAGTAGCCTGTTGCTTAATCCAATCTCTGGTTAATTTGAACCATCATTTAATGTGATTAAAACATCTGGAACCAAATAATTTGCATTAAAAAGAACTTCTGTCCTTTATTATGATGGTTTTAGGCAGGTATTACTGAATAACTCAATCACCGGCTGCAGGAAAGTTGCTGTTCAATTAATAAGGAAGGTCAAAATTCTGAATGAGAGACAAGGAAAAGCCCAAGGAAAGTCCATCTGATAATAAGAGATGACACCACCAAAAAGCTGTGTTAGCCTGAATTGTTACTGACGTTTTGAGCACTGCAGCAGGCTCCGAAAGCCTGCATGCCCGAATGCTGTGGGATCAACAGCTCCCTGCAGCCAGTGATTCAGAGAAAGCTTCTGGAATGCCAGGAAGAGAAGGACCCGGGTATGGGAAAGTTTCTGTCAATTGTTTTCTAAAGTGCATCAGTTTATAACTCACTTGGTGATGTGGATGCACTAAAGTTTCATCTGAACACACCAACACAGGCCCTGAAAGGCCTCCTCCCTGGACTCAGGACTCTCTGGGGTAGGATATACTTTTCCACAATCCAGAATTGGGAATATTCACCTTCCCCTACGCTCTGTGATGCTCCAGGATTAGGAAAGCTTCAGATTCCCTGGGCATTGCTTTTCCTCACTGAATGAGGCAGGTGTGTAGGAAAACTCCCTCTAAAACAAACCTTCCCCTCTGGCATCTACAAATGTGACATCCCTAGAGTAAGGGACAGCAACTTGAGACCATGAGAGGGTTTTTGAGACCTGGCACTTTGAACAGAGACTGTCAAGTAAATACACACCATGTTCATTAGTCTCGTAAATTTAATTTCCTGGAGCTCCAGAACCCTCTCTTGTGCTGGGTACATGACACTGGCAGCTCCACAGCCCACCCACCTCTCCACACGCTTCAGGTACTTCAGTATTCCTGGTGGGATATTTTAATAGCTTCCCTTCTATTTTGTCTGCTTAAATCTGCTATTTCACCTGTACTGTCAGCTTCTACTCCACAAGGTAAACCACTTGACTTCCAGTCAATACAGAAGCAAACATCATGAGGTGTTATTGCTCATTTCATTGTGCCCAGATTAATTCTGTTCTACTTTTAAATAAAACAATGGCCCCCAACATGTCTTCTGCGTTCTCTCCCTTTCCTGAACCCCAAAATGCTATCCCTCCTCCCCCTTCAACACCACCCAGCCCTGTTACCAGTCCGAGTTAAGCCATGCTCTTTCTGGTTTGTACTTCAGCGCACAAGAGACTGCTGAAGTTCTGGTTTAGTGAGTAGCTATATCCTCCAGCGTGGCTCTTTCGCATAAGTTTAGGAGGCTCTTTCCTTGCCTCGCTAGCTCTGCAGAGCCTGCATAAAACAGGGGAGGAGGCTGGAATCAGACACCACTTGAGCATTCTCCAGCAAACACCTATCCGACCAGAGAAAAACACAGGAACAAAGCCTTCTCTATCCTGATCACAGACACATCTTTCTCTCACCTCATCTCGTTTTTAAACACGAAAACGTAGGGAAGGAGCAGTTTAATTATTCTGGTAGGACCCCCGTGGCCAATCAATTCAGCTAAGTCAGTCTGTCTGGCAAGCCTATGAGTATTTTTAACTTTTTTACTGCCATGCTCCAGTCCATGCACTGTAACAGGGATAAAAGGAAGACAATTTGTTTTAGGGTCTTGCACTGATAAATTCTTAGGATCATTTCACCAGAACAAGCACCTGATCTGCTGCTGAAATGTTAGTGCAAAGCTGGCAACAGAACCTGTCTCTGCTCCAGCTCCATGCAAGGCTCAGCAAACAGCCCTTATCTCGGCTCCTTTAGCTCCGCCAAGAAGCAGCCCTTCAAGTTCTAGTGCCACAAGTGAAAAAGCCACTGGAAGAAAGAGGTGTCGAAAACAAATCCCCCTGCCATTTTCATTCTGTGGTCATTAGCAGCGGCAGCGTTGTGCCCATGGAAGCCCACGGTGCCCTTGGTGACAGCAGAAACTGAAAGGGAACGCTGCAGCCTCGAAAGCACATCCCGAGCAGCGCTGTCCCTACCCGACAGGACACGCAGCCCGGCCATCACTTCCAATCAGCGCAGAAGGGACGGAGCGGCCCCAAAGGCAGGGGGTGATTGTGCCGCTGTCCCGAAGGGGAGCAGCTCAAAAGAACACACAAGTGAGACCACGGGATTGTTAATTAGTGTTGATAGATGCGATCATTTCTAATTAGCTCACTAATCCCTCTCCCTCTCGCTCCTGTCACAGGAGCATGGGAGAAGTGGGGGGAAGCCATTCCCTCCTGTAATTCAGGAAGGTAAAACCACAGCCAGCCGAGGACTGGATGCAAGAAGAGGACGGATCTCAGGGAAGGAGGTTTTTGCACAAGGCTGATCCATTCTTATCTCTGACTGAACAAAGACTGTAGTTATTCCAGCCTTCTGCCAGGAGGTGAGGAGATCACTAATTTTTATTAGCATTAATAATTATTATTAGGCCATCAGAGGGCTTCCAGCACCTTTGAGGCCTCACTTGTAGCAGATGAGCATCACCCTACACACTGCTCCTGCTGCATGTGCATGTTCTCCGTCAGGTTACGCTGAACTGTCGGGCACCCCAGAGGGTTTGAGTGGTCCTAGCATAGAAAAAGAAAGTAGCACACAGAGGTGAGCAAGAAACGGGACCCTCTGCAAGGGCTGGGGTCTCAGTTACAGTCTCTGACTTAGGAGCTGTGCTGGCTAAGGGGCGAGCTGCTCTTCCCTTCCCTCATACGGGGTCTTCTGGGACTACATAAGGTGAGAAGCTGCTTGCACTACAGGAGCTGCCAGCCTGCACTTGACAAAGCTCCCACGGCTGAGGGTACACGGACCCGCGCCTTCCCATGGGTGTGGAGAGAAGGAGCCAGCCCACCCCCCTGCGCAGACACTGCTGCCTTACGGACAAAAGAGATGGAGGATTTTTTTCTCACACCGGGCTCTCCCCATCAAGGCTAAACCTTATTAATGCCTAAAGATCATGTTATTCTCTAGCCCAGCAAAACTTCCTGAGAGAAAAGCTAATGGGTTTTAGTTTTCACTGGTACTCCTCTCCCTAAGCGAAAATTCACCTTCAGGACAAGGCACTAATTACCTCAGAAGTGCTCTTACATGGCATCTAGCAGTGGACACTATACAAACCTCTACCGCAGCATCAAAGGAGATGATTAAGTTACTAGCAATATCTCTTACGATCCCCTCCACCAGTTTGAGTGGTCCCCTGAGCCCCATGCAGACATCATTAGCAGCTCCTGCAATGGCAGGCCAATCAAATTAAGTGGAAACATTTTTGTCTCCTTTCCAGAGAAAATATCTAGCTTTATTCCTCCCCCACCCATCAGCTATGAAAGCACACGACATGCTGGTGGTGGTTCAACAACAAACTGCAGGGTGACCACCTCCACCGAGGTCTGCCCAGAGAGGCAGGCTGACGGTCATCACCAATCCGGGAACCAGCCTCTCAGGCAGGTGCAAAAGGAGCTTTGGAAGGATCCATTTTACAACTCTACTGAGAACTGCAACTCTGCAAATACCCCTAAATTTGAATCAAAGATATTCAAGCACAAGAATTAGCACCTGCTCTCTCCAAATCTACCAGAGGAGCCTTGAGGAGCAGCCACACCTATTTTTGTTAGACCTATCACAAAAAGCTTCTGTGGCTGATCAACTTATCCCAGAGCATCTGATCCAAGGGAACAAGGGCAGCAATGGCAGAGCACAGAAAACCATCTCAAGAACAAGCCAAAGCAAGAAAACAGACGTTCAAGAATGAATCTGTTTCAGACCTTACGTACAATTTGCTGCTCATCTGCCCGAGAGAGAACATTAAGGGCCAAATTCACAGAAGGGTCTCAGTGGGGCTTTCAGGTTTGCATGGTCAAACTTCCACATGGATGATTTTCAGCAACCTTCAATCTGACACTATTCTCCAAGGTTGGCACATACTTAACCTGCTGAATCCACGTTTTGACACACTAACCTGTAACTCTGTGCCTCTAATTTTGAATGACTACCTAACCTGCTCTGCACTGCTGAACTCCATAAGCATCAATTTACTGGGTGGCTGAACGTTTCCAGTTTGGGAACCCTGGGAATAAGGCAAGTGAAAGAAATGTCCTCTTTATCACATGGGTTCATCAGGAATCAGCACCTCA